TTCATATGCAAATAGTACTGCGCCATAGCGACGATCCGATTGGCCGACCAGTATTTAATGCGGAAGAACGATGTCGCCTGAAGTGCAGAGAGGGTGTGATGGGCGGGGCCTTCTGCTCCACACAGAGGAAGCTCTGCGCTGTTCTCTAAAGACAATCCAGTGGTAAATGTCTAGAGTGAGCTGCTGCTGTTAGTCTACCCGTTTCTCTCCTGTTTCTGCTCCAGAGGGGGGTTAGATGTTGTATTTAATTGTGTTCCTTTTATTTTGTTCGGTAAGTTGCCACTCCAGTTGTTTTGGTCACTTTTTATTTTATTTCGACATTAGCCACAGCCTTTGTTAAACATGTATAGTACATAAATATTTCACTTCACTGTGAAACGCTTTCCTGTGGCTGACCGGTGAAGGATGTGCATTTCATGTTCAGGCACCCCGAGGCTGAGCATGACACAAAATACAGCAGAAGGTGGAGAAAAGATGTTTGTGGTTGAACAGAAGAAGTGACAGCGAGGTGGAGGAGGCTGCTGCTTGCTCAGGAGCTCCCTTCCTCATTTCCTGTCCTTTCTCCCGCCCTCTCCTCTCCACTCCCCCCTCCATCACCATCCACCACTACCATCTGCCCCACTCTCATCCTCTCTTCTCTCCACACTCCCTCCACATCCGTCTCTCCTTCCTGTATCGCCTCAACTATCGCTCCCTTCTCTTGCCACCCTACCTTTTCATACTCTCTTCTCCCTCTTTTACCCCCTCTACCTTAACACTTTGCCCCACTCTACTACCCCTTTCTAACTTTCACCCTCACCCTCTCTGTCTCTGCAAGCACTGGTGGTTTTGATTTAAAGCACTAAAGCTGTTATTCATGTGGTTTTTGTTCCAAACCAGTCAATAGGATGTACATTTACTGATAGCACAGGGCTCCAGGTGAACTTTTTCTCTAGTAGCACCGATGTAAACACATTTCTCAGTTTCTGAACACATGATTTGGTGACAGTATCACAAAATAGCAGAAGGGGGCAGGACTGAGACCATCGGCCGGTAGCAGGCTCAGCACCACAAACTACATCTGATGATAATAAAACCTAAAGGCCAACTCATGTTGTCTGTGTAGGCTCCACTGATACGGTCCAATCTGTGAGCAGCTCTTGTTTCTCTGTGAACAGCTCTGTGTTTAATATGAGGGGAAACAGTGGACTGGTGCGGCTCTGTTGAAGTACAAACAAAACCACGTCTGCAGTCCGATTGTCAGCCTGGGCACACGGAGCAGGAAACCACAAACTGGTCTGTAAACCCCAGAGAAATATTTTTGCTCTTCTTGTCTCTGGCCACTAGGGTTCACCCACCACACAGCAAACTGCCACCTGCAAAAGTTCTGGGATGACTCTGCCACCGTCGGTCTCATCAACGACGGAGATGAGAAGGATTACCGAGAACTAAACCAGAACTTTGTGACCTGGTGTGAGCAAAACTGCCTCCGGATTAATGCCGGAAAAACCAAAGAGCTGGTAGTTGACTTTCACCTGCACAAAATTATACTTTACTATATACTTTATACTTTTTTATGGGTTGGACTCTTCCTCTCAGCAGCATCATGGCTGCTGAGAGGAAGAGTCTGAACAAGCTGGTGAAGAAGGCCGGCTCCATCATGGGCTGCAGTCTGGATCCTGTGGAGGTGGTAGGTGACAGGAGGATGATGACAAAGCTGTCATCATACATGGACATTACCTCCCACCCTCTACATGGGACTGTTAAAGCCCTGGAAAGCTCCATCAGTGCCAGGCTTCTTCATCCACGCTGTTCCAAAGAGGGGCAGCGCAGGTCCTTCCTCCCCTCTGCTGTGAGACTCTACAACCAGCTGTGCTCCCAGTAGACCCAC